ATGTAAGATATGACAAAATAATAATAATTTATCAATTATAAAGGTGCATGGGGGAGGGGCAGCGGGGAGGGAGGAAAAAAATGAGGAGCTGATACCAAGGGCTCAAGTAGAAAGCAAATGTTTTGAGAATAATGAGAGAAACAAATGTACAAAAGTGCTTGACACAATGGATGGATGGGTGGAGTGTGATAAGAGTTGTAGGAGCCCCCAATAAAGTGATTAAAAAAAATTATCAAGAGTTCATGAGGGAAGGGGGAGTGGGGAGGGAGGGGAAAAAATGAGGAGCTGATACCAAGGGCTCAAGCAGAAAGCAAATGTTTTGAGAATGATGATGGCAACATATGTACAAATGTGCTTGACACAATGGATGGATGGATGGATTGTGATGAGAGTTGTACGAGCCCCCAATAAAATGATTTTTTTTTAAAAGAAATCCGTTCACCCCAGTACCTCTGTGCTTTTGACTACTAAATCTTTTTTTCATTCTTAAGTTAGGAACATCCGCAAAACTAGGGCTCCAGAAAATGGCCAAAGCTGACCAGCTTGAGGTAACAAGTAAAGCAAAAGGGCCCTGGACTTCTAAGGACCAACATAGGCACAAGATGAGTGTTTTCTGTGCTAACCAGCATCTCCTGGCCTGGTGCTCCCCAGGTAGACTTGGCAGTCCAAACTGTGGCACTGTTCTTTTGCACAAATGCAGGGACACCGGAAACACATGGTTGCTTCGTAAATGCACCATGACTTTTCTCGAACACTATTTATTGCAAGTTATTCATGCCATTTACGAGTTTACACATTTCACCCTCTGAACAGACTGGACCCCCTGAGTAACACAGGACATGCTCTTCTTTCAGCATCACAGGCACACACTGCTTGCTTCAGGTCACCATAAACTGTGCGCTGAATATAAACTGAATTAGTCAGGAAAGAATTACCTCTGATCCAAGATATGATTTGCCTTGTATTAATTCTGGTGCTGCGTAAGCAAGACTCCCACAACATGTCTGTAGGTGGTCATCCTTGTTACCCTGAAAATAAGATAAAAATGAAATATTTGTGAGAGGGTGCAGGGAGGGGGAAAAAGAGGAGCTAATACCAAGGGCTCAGCTAGAAAGAAAATGTTTTGGAAATGATGATGGCAACATATGTACAAATATGCTTAATACAATTGATGTATGGAATGTTATAAGAGCTGTAAGAGCCCCCAATAAAATGATTTTTAAAAGAAGAAAAATGAAACATGTATTAATTATGAGCCTTATGAGAGTTAGTGTGGTAAACAGCCTCTGAGCACAAGCAAAGAAAAGCTAAGTGAAGAAGTACCCCCGGAAATAAAGGACTTGTACAGCTGATCCAATGCTCTGCGCCGACATGTGGGCTAGTGGGTTTCCAGTACCACTACTAGCCGGCACCTGCAAAATCTTGTCCCCCTAGGCCAGGCAAGTCAGGTTCCTATTTCCCTCGAAACCCTTGTGCACAATGATCAGCTTACCATATAGCCACGCACTAGTGATACACAAACACATAAAGAAAATGAACTCTTTCTTTACCAGGTCCTGATTCCAATATCTAAAGGGTCCTCGTAGCACAATAGTTAACCCGACTGCTAACTAATAGGTTAAGTCCACTATTTATTTGAATGAGTAAATGCGAGGTTTTAAATTCAAAGTTAAATCCACTAGCCACTCCACAGGAGACAAAACCTGGCCATCTGTTCACGTAAAAATTTCAGATGAGCCCCCAATAAAATAAGTAATTAATTTGTTGATTTTTTTAAAAAAGATTTCAGATGGAGAAATCCTCTGGGTTCTACTCTTGTCCTGTAGGGGTCGCTAGGATCAACTTGATGGCATGCAGCAGCAGCAGCAGCAGCAGCCCCCACAGCCCACCATTACCAGCACAGGAGAGTGTCCTTGTCCTTAGAGGGAAGGAAGCAACAAGGGCACACACACAAAACAGGGCCCTGGGAAGCTGCCTTCTAGACTCAGTGTTAAGACCAATCACTGCCTTAATTTCCAAATCTATTAAGATGAAGCGCCTGTCCATCGTTCCCCACCCTCCCACAGAAGATGTAATGGAAACGATATCACAGCCCAATACCAGGGCAGAGTTCTTCTACAGCTTGAAAACCCTAAAAACCAAACTCACTGCTTTCCAGTTGATGCCAGTTCACAGTTACCCTCGAGGCCAGCCTCGCACTGGCCCTGTGGTTCCCGAGACGGCAGCACTTCACGAGGACGGAAAGCCGCCTTTCACTGCTGTGAAGTGGCTGGTGGTGTCAAGCTGCGGTGAGCAGCCAGCCAAAGGCAGCACCACGACAAAAGGGACCCGTGAAACGGTGAGCTTGCAGTTACAACCGAAACAACCTGCCCAGCGCGAGCTCCGCAGCAAAAGGCTGAAGCGGATCCTCTCCCAGCTAGGCCTGCTTTTTCAAGTGGGGCGGTCCAATCTTCGGCAGCCATAAACAAGCGTTTGCTACGGGTGTCTGTCCCAAACGTTCCCCACTGCCTCCTGTGGCGAACACGACAAGCCAGCTACCTGCCTAAAATATGCTTTGTGTCTGCCGAATAAAAAAGAAGCAACAACAACATGAACAACAGCCTGCCTTCTAGCACTCCGTTCCCAGACAAAGTTCCCCTAATCATCTCTGAACAGCCCAGGGAAGGGAGGAGAATTAGAAAGAAGGGGAAAGTGGGCTCCATTTGCACCTAGCTAATTCTGATCGGGGCGGGAAATAACCACGGGCTATGAAAGGCTGAGGCAGGTCTGCAATTTCCACATTCCTAATGAGTGTCGACAGCTCATTGGAGAGACTGTGAGTACCACCATGAGACTCGGGAGGAAGCCTCCAACAGGCAGCCACGCAGGGGCTCGGCCACAGACGCGGCAGAGCTGGGAGGTTCGAAGTGACCTCGAAGAGAAGTTACACGAGACAAGGGCAGGACTTCATTCCCTCACAAAGCTCACTGCGACCAAGCCAATTCTGACGATTCCCAGGCTGTACAAAAGGGCTCACCTTTCACCCTCAGACACGGAGCCGCTGATGCTTAACTATGGAGCTCGAATTAAGGAAAAATGTAACAGGATGCATTTTTAAAAGCACATGGGCTTTTCTCTTCGATTACTTTATAAGAGCATCATCACGCAAAAGGTAACCATAATTGTCAAACAGATAACCATGTGGATGAACAACAAAGACTACATTAACAGTAAATTCTCAAAACTCCTATTTCAATGAACAGAAGCATCATCTAGTGGCAACATATTCAAACTGCAAATCATATCCACTCAGCATGCCTGAATCGGTGTGGTACCGAGCTCAGGAACTAGAGCAGTGGTTCTCAATCATTTGTAAATGAAAACTGATGCTCAGGATGCTGTATAACGCGATTCTCAATAGAGGCTAACCCCCAAACCAAACCTGCTGCCATTGAGCGGATACTGACAGTGACTCTGTAGGACAGATACCGCATAAGGTTTCCAAGGCTGTAAATCTTTATGGACACAGACTGTCACATCTTTCTCCCACAGCACCAAGGATGACCTCATGCCACCAACCTTGAGTTAGCAGCCGAGCGAGTGGTTAACAACTGTATCACCCGCGTGCCTCTCACTGGAAGCAGCCAAGTTCAATAAAGGCTAAGTAGAACTGGAGAACATTACGCTGAGTGAACTGAGTCAATCACAAAAAGGCAGATGCTGTATGAGACCACTACGAGAAGGATAAAAACCAAGACAGACGTGCATGCCAAGGGGACAGACTGCGGAGGGTCCCAAAGGAAGGAGGGAAAGGGTGAGGAGATAAAGCAAGACTAGACGGTTGACAGGTATTGATTTGGGTGACAGGGAGACTAGAGAGCCATAAAGGGAGAAGAGAAATCAGGGTGGGGAATAGAACATGGGGACCGAGTGGAGCTAGTGAGTGGTTTGAACTGATGAATGCAGAGGTGATAGTCTGAAATGTAACCCCCCACCTAATTCACAATACAAAAGTAGTCTAAGTTGAGTCAGTGCAAGACAGCACAGTAAGAGGTGCATTTACGAAGGGGTACATCCATCCATTTCTATTCCCGTACTTACCTTGGGTTTTGCACAGAGACCAAAGTCAATCAGCTTTAAGTTATGGTACTCATCAAACAATAAATTTTCCTGAGAAAACAAAGATGTCTTAGTAACTGCGTACTGTACGTACTGACTTCCTTATCTCACTCCCCACCTCTAGTCATCGCTGACCATTATCTAAGGGATTCAAAAGCCTGGGCGTGAGAGAGTGAAAACCATTACAATAGGAATAAAGTTTTTTGGTTTTGTTTTTTACTTTGTTATATGGGAAAAATGTATCAATGTTACATCTATTAAAATGAAAACTTTTATCCAAAGCCCATTAGTAGGCCACTGGAGATCCCCTTGCAGAGGGGTCTCGGGGAGGAGATGAGCCAGTCAGGGTGCGATGTAACAATGATGAGAAATACAACCTTCCTCTAGTTCCTAAAGGTTTCCTCCCCGCTCCCACTACCATGACTCGAATTCTATCTTGCAAGACTGGCTAGACCAGAGGAGGTACACTGGTACAGATAGGAACTGAAAATACAGGGAATCCAGGACGGATGAGCCCTATAGGACCAGTGGTGTGAGTGGCAAAACAGAGAGGGTAAAGGGAGAATGAGTAGGAAAGAGGGAACCAATTACATGGAACTGTGTGTGACCTCCTCCCTGGGGGACAGACAACCAAAAAGTGGATGAAGGGAGACGTCGGACAGGGCAAGATATGACAAAATACCCATTTATAAACTATCAAGGGCTCATGCGGGAGGGGGGAGCGGGGAGGGAGGGGAAAAATGAGGACCTAATGTCGGGGGTTTCAACGGAGAGAAAATGTTTTGAGAAACGATGTACAAATGCGCTTTACACAATTGATGTGTGTATGGATTGGGATAACAGTTGTATGAGCCCCTAATAAAATGTTTAAAAAAAAGAAAAAAAGAAAAAAAAAGAAAGAAAATAAATAAATAAATAAATAAATAAAAATGAAAACTTTTTTAAATAGAGGACTGATTCCAAACTGTCTCATTCTGGTGAAAAAGCAAATTGGGGGAAAAAAAGTTTTAATCTACTTCATTAAAAATAATAAATGAAGGATCAGAAGAATAGAAGAGGAAAGCTGAAAAGGATACGGCTTCCCTATTCACCGTGCCAACCTAAGCCACCCTCTCCTTGGTGCTCCAAGTCCGATTCAACTTAAACCAGAAGAGCCAGCTCAAGATGCGAGAGCTGAGGGGAGAAGAGCAGCACTCACAAAACAACAACAGGGATCTGTCATTGATCAAGATACCCGGGAGTGGGAGGTGGGGGCGGTTGGAGCTGATGCCAAGGGCTCAAGTAGAAATAAAATGGGTTAGAAATGTTGATGGCAACACATGCACAAGTTTGCTTGATTGAATGATGATGGATTGTTAAACAATTTGTAAGAGCCCCAGTACAATGATTAATAAAAAAAGATGAAGGAGAGTAACACTGCTGTGTCTTGTTAGGTCAACTCCACGGGTCTGACCTTGGTACCAAGAAAACGTAAATTCATGTTCACCGCTATCCTTATTAGCCAGAACCCAAGCTTAAAGTGTGTACTCAAAAAAAAAAAAAGTGTGCACTCCTTTGTATTGCGTCTTGAAGGAGTAGAGTCTGTCCACTCCATTGGGTTAGTCCTTTTCTGAGAAATAATGGCTTACAATGAAAGGCAGATCGAGTTAGGAAAATCACTTTTGAATGAAAAATACTGAATGACTCGATACTACTGAAAAAGATCTCAGTACTCGTCTTTCCTGGGGGCAAACTCACGAGGCTCCTGTTTCGCAGCTGATTCCAAAGACAATTATACTGTCACACACAACTGACAAGCAAACTGAACGTTAATAAGAAGTCCTGCCAAAAAAAAGTCAAAAGCAAATAAAGAAAAAAGAAATGGGATACAGTCAGAGCAGGACCAAGAAAAGTTGAAAAACTAAGATACATTTCTAAGAAGAAAGAACATTCAGAAACGTAAAACTAACAAGCACATGTCGGGGGAGCTGTTGATCTCTGGAATGTTGGCCTGCCACGCGCTCACTTACTGGTTTGAGGTCCCTGTGGGCATAGCCTTGGCTGTGCACGTAGGCGACAGAAGACAGTATCTGACGGAACACAACTCGGGCCTCCTCCTCGGACAGGCGATCCTGGGATATGATGTAATCAAACAGCTCTCCTCCAGGGCAGTACTTCAACGGGAAAAGAGACACACGGATATTATTGCTTACAAAATACCTTAAGAGAAAAAAAGAATGTGGGTGTATATGTATGTAATAAGAGCTATGATTAATTCAACTTTGCAGGCAAGGGAACCGAGCGAGGCCTATCCTAAAGCACTCTCAGACTCCTTTGGCATGCACCATAGCAACCCCATCTGTGTCAGAGCAGAACTCCCTGAGTCCCACAGGGTCTGCAACCGCGGACTGACTCGCAGTAATTCATCAAGCCTTCTATTTATAGTAGTGCTACTACTCTAATAGTACGAGACTGCAGTCAACCTACATGTCCAAGCAGAGCCTCAGAACACAATAGGAAAGATGAATGGACAACTGGCATTCAGTTGCATATCTTAGGTCATCATTAAAAGGGTTATATAGCTGTTGTATATGTACTCTCAGCATAGTACAGTGTTTTTAAAACTTCTTAGACATGAGCACACCTTGAGGGAATGAATGGCTCAGGACCACAGTCTCGGAGGACACCATGGTGCATGGGCATGGCCTAATCCACAAAGACAATGTCCTACGTCCTACTTTGCTGAGAATCGACTGGGGTCCAGGGGACAGTCCTAGAAGGTGCGACTATTGGCCTGGAGGAAAGCAGAGTGATGGAAATCCCCAGACACAGGAAGCAATTAATTAGTCCAGTCGACTGAAGGACCAAGTCAACATCAGTCTCCATGACTCTCAGACCAAAGGAATCAAATGGTGCTTGCCTCCCACGACCAACTGCTCTCAAAGGGATGGAATTAGAAGGTCTTGGATAGATAGGGAGGAAAATGTGGACTAAAACTCAAAACCATAAACAGACTACATTTACTGGCTGGATGAAGACTATGGCTCTTAGTCACCCCCGTGGCTCAAATGTCAGCACAACAAGGGACAGGTCGGTACGGGGAACACTAACACCGGTGAGGTGTTCACACTTTAGAAGCATCCACCAAATGAGATCAAAAGGGCCGCCTGAGGAAAGGAGGCGCAACAGAAACTGGAACCCAAGGACAGAAGGAGGAAGCGGCCCTAGACGCACTAGACAGGCATCGGTGATGTGAAGGAAGGGGACAAAACAAGATGCATACAAATTATCCTCCATGAAACTGATGAGCTGCACTGTCAATCTTCACCTGATGCACAATAAAAACATTTTTTGAAAGAAAAGGCTTTTAAAATGTAGCTTTTAAAAGTGTGTGTGAGATAGAGATCGAGATAAACAAGCTCAAAGGACTGATCATTATTGAATCTGGGAGGTAAGTACAAGAGTCATTGAATGATTCTTTCTTTTTGTGTGTTTGTGTCTGAAATACAAAGTTTTTTGGGGGGGTTCGTTTTTTTAAATTTTTAAGTGTCTATTCTCACTCCCACAGCGCAACTTTCAGCCAAGGAATCTCAAATCCGACTCCGAGTGACCCAATAGGACAGGGTAGAATAGTCCCTGTGGGTTCCCGAGACTGCAACTCTTGACACAAGTAGAAAGCCTCATCTTTCCCCCACAGAGCGGCTGGTAGTTCAAACTGCTGACTTTGCTGTTAGATAGGAGCCCTGGTAGTGCAGTGGTTGAGTTGGGCTGCGATCCACATGGCTGGCAGTTCGAAACCATCAGCCACTCTTTGGAAGGAAGACTGGACTGTCTACGCCTTACACAGTTACGGTCTCAGAAACCTACAAGGAGGTTGCCATGAGTCAGCGCGGACTCACTGACACTTAGAAGACGGGAAGAAGCACGAGTGGAGGCGGGGGTCACAAGCAGAAGTGGGACCGTGCTGCGACATCGTGGGGTCTGCCGTCGGTCACAAAACAAAGGGCGTGTGGACCGCTGGACAAAAAGCCAATGTGTTCTGTAACCTTCCACCCAAATCTCAATGAAAAAGTTAAAGAGACAATGCTCGGATGCGACAAGTCAGCACACTGCTGGGATGAGGGCAATACCTCTCGGTCTTGAGCAATCTGATTACCAGGAAGTGAAAATAAAACTAAGAACCAGCTGTGGTTTTAAGTTCACTCCGGGTTTTATATCTTTATAGCAAAGCACTGAAACCCATTCTGGTTTTTTAAAACCCATTTTAATCGTAGTGCATTTAAATTTTAGTGTAGTTACCTGAAATTAATTTTTTTTTAAACTGCAGCAATTACAATTTTTCCATCCCATAAAACAGTGGTTTCCATCTGTACCACAGAAACCAGTACTCGGGGACTGAAGGAGAGGAGAGCAGGGCACCAAACTCAGGACGTCCCATCCCCTGTCCCCCAGAGCAGTCCCACTTCTCCAGAAACTGGGTTTGCACTCGAGATGTCAGTTCACTTCATATTAAAACAATAAAGTGCATCAAGTCTTTTGACCCAGTAGCTCCACACTCAAGAATGATTCCCAGAGAGGTCCTTGCTCCCGGGAAACACTGCATGCTCCAGGTCATTCCCTGCAGTCACATTGCTTCTAACGGCAAAAGACTGGAAGCAATTCAGTGCGTAAACTATAGAAATTATAGCACAGCTAGAAAGTGGAATTCGATGCAGTCTTGAAAGGGTGGAGGGGAGCTCTTTACACACTCCCAGCATTAAATAAAAATAAAGCAACATATAAAGTTTGCAGATCGATACGGATGAACTACAAATGCATCATGACAGGTTCACAATAGAGTTTGGGTGGGGAGATTTTTTTTTACTAAGAACAAAGAAGAAAGTTCGGGGGTTAGAAAAGGCACTATGCCAGGCAACAGAGACCAGATACCGAAGAGCAGCAACCATACGCTCCACTTCACATCCTACTCACTGCCAACATGTCGACTGTGAGCACAGCGGCCCTAGAGACCGAGCAGAGCTGTCCCTGTGGGCTTCCAAGACTGTTCCTCTTGACGGGGCAGACGGCTCACCCTTCTCCCGCGGAGCAGTGGTGGTTTCACCTGTTCAAACTGCCGACCTTGTGGTCAGCAGCCCAATGGGTAGCCCGCCACGCGACCAAACGAACAAACAAGCTTGCTGTCATCAAATCAATGCAGACTCACAGCAACCTGATGGGGCAGGGACACTCGCCCCTTTCAGTTTCTGAGACTGCAACGATTATGGGGGTAGGAAGACTCATCTTTCTCCCTCAGGGCACCTGGTAGTTTTGAACTGCCAACCTTGCAGATCGCAGCCCAACATGTAACCACTATGTCACCAGAGCCCCTACGATGCTACCAGAGCTCCTGATATCAAGCCTTAGAACAGGTGAAACTCACCTAGGGAGACAGAAATCAGATCAGGGTTAGTAGGAAGGGGAGTGGGTAGGTAAGGTTACATGCATTCTCTTCAAAAGGGCAGGAGAAAACTTCCTGGCTGACAAAAAAAGTTCTAAGGCCTCACTGGGGTGGGGAGTACGTCGATGTGGACATTTGTCAAACACGCATTCCCAATGTGTGTATTTTATTACACATAAAGTACCTCAATTGTCAGCTTTTTAAATGTGATCCCATAGGGTCCACATAAAGAAAACCTTTCAAATGAAAAACAAAAACCATCTAAAATCTCCAGGGGTGACATAGATGGAGGCCAAGCCAAATTGTGAGGTTGGGGTCAGGGTTAGGTGGAACGAGTACAGAATAATTATTAATGTATGTGACCCTCGTGACTGAAATCAGCAAGACACACGCATGTATTTCTAATAACATGGACTATCTGTAGGAGAGACGAGTGACGGCAGTGAGAAGGGAGCACTCGCTAACGTATCCCTGTTGTACCTTTTCAATGCTGCCCTGAGATTGTGATGATTTTTCTTTTCTGTTTTAAGCATTTAATATGGCGAGAGGGACCAGCTAAAAACAAAAGGTTTTAAAATTAGCATGTGGAGTATTCCATAGGTCTACAGTACAAAGAGAAAACCACTGTAAATCTAAAACTTCTAACATGTTATGTTTTCAAATGGACCCTAAAATAGTGCTCCTCTGTGAAAATCACGGGCCATTACAAATCATTTGGCTGAGACTAAGGAAACCGAAGCGAGGGACCGATATAGGATGCTGAAGACAACCTTTCATGCCACAAAGGGCCGGGGAGAGCCCGGGGCCTTTGGTTCACATGACATGTGCACTGGGGGCTACCTTTACAAAGGGGAAATGGATCCTTCCCTCTACTAACAAATTCACTAAACGATCCCACCTACCCGGGTGTAGCAGAAAGTGCACATTCACAATGAATCTCTAATTTATTGCCCCCAAGGGGACGTCAGAAAGTTCATGAAAAGATAGCATTAAAAGGTACTGGAATTTTTCAAAGAGCTTTTCGGAGCTGTGTCAAACGTCTGTCTTGCAGGAAAGTGTCACACACGAAACTCGAGCAGGTAAACCACTGAACGCTCATTCCAATCTTTCAGGCCACATGCACTCTCCTCAAGTGACCAGATGCTCGCGATCTCTGGAACGAACGACTCACCTCAAGAACCATGAATATTTTGTTGGCTGTCTCTAGCACATGGTAAAGCTGACATATGTGCTGATGTCGCAGGTTCTTCAAGGCATCAATCTCCGTCTTGACCCTGGGCAAGTCACTCTGTGACAAAGCATGAGACCAAGTGAGCAGACCACCCATTTCAGAAGTATTCCAAGCATCAGTACCCACGACTGTAATCACAGTCATCAAAAAGCCACCAAAAGTCCCAAAACAAAATTGTTCAGCCATACAGAAGAATCTCCCGACGAAAATCGTTAATACATACTTAAGAAATGCCTCAAGGTGTTAAAAAAAGAGAGCTTCTACATGGATCAAAAGGAAAAGTCCAAAAATTGAAAACACTCTCAGACTCCAGTAGAAGGTCATTCCCAAACCAGGAAAATAATGGAGACATAGACTCTTCTCAGTACAAGGACCAGATTCCCCTCTGAGTGCCAACAACAGCCTTTAACACGCACACTAAGATTTGCGGGGCCCGAGCTGCAGAAATACATGCTCAATAATGTTTTATGAGTTAAGAAAAGATTATTAAAGGGAATGTCTAATAGGTCCCCATGAAATTCTCTGGCATTTCATTTGGAAGAAGCCCAAAAGATCGAGTGGAATTGCTACAGCCGAGCTCCTTACATCCCCTTTGACGTGCTTGCATGTTTCTCAGCACTGAGAGGCGCTCTGCTCACGCAATGGCTCTGTGCTCAGCTGCTAACCACAAGGTCAGTGGTCAGCACCCACCGGCTGTTCCTCGGGAGGAGGACCTGATGATCTACTCTACAGAGAACCACCCGGGAAATCCTAGGGGGGATTCTGCTGTCACATGGGGTCCCTGTGACCAGTGTCAGCACTGGCATCCGTAATAAGGAAGGCTCGCTATCTAAACCTGTCTCATGCCAGAAATCCATACGGGTGTCGTGATCATCAAAGGCCCAAGGTAGCTAATTTAGAACTGCATTTTCAATAAACTGGTTACTTTTTTTTAATCATTTTATTAGGGGCTCATACAACTCTTACCAAAATCCATACATACATCAAGTGTGTAAAGCACATTTGTACATTCATTGCCCTCATCATTCTCAAAACATTTGCTCTCCACTTAAGCCCCTGGCAACAGGTCCTCTTTTTTTCCCTTCCCTCCCCGTTCCCCCCTCCCTCATTAATCCTTGATAATTTATAAATTATTATTTTGTCATATCTTGCAAACTGGTTACTTTTCATGTTTTATACTTGCCGACATTTCTAAACTATTTGTTAGTTTAATACATTGTATGTGTTTCATTCTATAAGGCTAACTCGATCCTGAAGAAAAATAAGATGTTAACACAGTGATTTGGGGTCAGAAGAAATTTTTTTTTTTTTAAGTATTTCTTAAATTTATCTTAGGGGGGAAAGGCACCGACAGCCACTAATACAGACTGGTGAATTCTCAGCTAAGGCCCACGAAGAAGCCGAGAGACCAAAGCAGATGAAGGTCAGTAAAATCAGGGGAAAAAAGTCAACCCAAGGTGAGTTCAAACACTAGAAAGGCCCAAAAAGACGACTAAAGAATATCTTTTTAATGACTTTATATTCGTCATAGGCAAGACCACTGACGGTGAATGGGCTGCTTTCAGAGGAATGAACGCTTTCGATGGACTCACCCATGTGGAGAGCAGGCTCTGAGAATCGCTCACAAGAGATGCTCAGAGCAGGATTTCGACAAGCAGTTCTAATAAGAAGCTAGGACATTATGTCAATGACTCTCTCTATCTATACCATAAAATAGACCAACAATTTGTAAAAATATCAGAAGATGATAAAAAAGGACAAGATTAATAGCCACCAACACCTAAAAAAAACTGCAGAAAAAGACAGACTCCTGTAATGCCGTTGTCCTGCTTTTAGATGGGAGGGCTGTAGGAACCCCGTGCCCTTAAAATGACTTTGTAAACCACAGACCTGAGTGTGAGACAACTGGGAGTGAGGAGTACAGAAATAGTATTCTTGGAGCAGCCACGAGCACATTGGAGCACATATGGGGCTTTACGTCACAAAATCGAGCCCACTGCCGACACGTCAGCTCTGACCCGGGGGCCCCCACCAGCTTAAGAATGGGACTGCACCCACACGGCTGTCAATAGCTGGGGTCTATCTCACAGCAGCAGCACATCCCCAGCGGTGTCACTGGGTGGATTCTATCCATTTGCATCACCCAGGGACCTTTCAACTCACAAAAGTGATCAAGAAACAGAACAGTAAAAAAAACAAAAAAAGAAAAGAAACAGAATAGTTTGGCAAAACGAAATTCAAACTTACCCCAAGCGCACTTTTATCCATGATTTTTATGGCAACCATTTCTCCAGTGAGGATATGGCAGGCCAGTTTGACCTTTGCAAAGCCACCTGAGTACAGGAAAATGTATTGTGAAGAGATACACAAAACCAGCAATGACGCCGTCACCAGAGTAATCTGAAGATTCGGTGCAAACACATTTCAATACACTTTTAGAAGGCTCTACTGAACCATCATTGTCCTGGACTTTAGTGGTTCGTTCTTCCGGTTCCTTCCAAAACATTGGCTATGAGCTTAACTTTTTCTAGTCAAACATTGATTCCAAGTTGTTTTGTTTTGCTTAACCATGACATTATATCTCTGATTTTGTAATACGGGGCTCACTCTTTAGAAATTTGATTAACAATTAACAATGCAAGGTTGCTTTATAATTAACACTGCTAGAACACACTGTAAAAGGATTGAGACAGAAGACAAACAACAGAAAACATTCCATCTTCACCCTGTGAAAATAAGCAATTAATGTTTCAAAATTATAACAACTAGATACATGTATCCAGGCAGTATCTAAATGAAATTCCCAGTTTAAGACGACCCCAAAAAAGAAGCTCCTGGCAGTACCTCCTCCCACAGCCCTCCTCTCAGTAACAACAACTCCATTTTCCCACTGGAATGCGTCAAAATTCCCAGAGCCAACCTTCACCCTTCCATACACACAGTCTATATGCAAGCCACCAACACAGCTGCTGGCCTGGCTTCAAAGGATCAACCTTGAAGTGGAGGAGCGTTTACGGACCGGCTGGTCAGAACCACAAGGGGACCTTCTATAAAGCTCTAGATCTGAGTGGTAAGCACAGCACGCAAACCTCCATCAAGATTAGTGCACATTTTGTATTTTACTGCATGTGATACCTCAATAAATAAAATTTTTAAAGTGGGTGGGAGGGGGGCTCTAGAATTCCATTCCATTCACTACCTCCCACGCACTCCCCTAGCCCAAGTTACCATCATTTCCAGATCCCCTGACTCTTGCTCTCCTCACCCGGTCTCTTCACAGCCAAGAAACCAGAATGGCCTGTGAAACCAAAGATGGGATCACCTCTTGGCTCAAAACCCTCCAGAGACTTCCTACTTGACCTCTAGTGGGGTCAGGGTCCTTGCGGCCACCCAGACTTCTCCCATTGTTCCCCTCACTGGCTCCACTTTTTCTTACTGAAGTAGGTAAAAGAATTCTAAAACCATATAGGTGAGACAGTGAGGCTGATGACTGTCCAGACAAACTACACCAGCAGTACACTCTCAAATGATTGCTCTTAACTTTTTCTAGGCAAACATCGATTCCAAGAGTTGTTTTGTTTTGTTTAACCATGACAATATATCTATGATTTTGTAATACGGGGCTCACCTCCAAGGGGAAAGAAAACATATTTTACCTGTCCCAATAGTTTCATATAATTCATAGTATTTGAGAAGTTCATCATAATCCTTCATAGTCCTCCTGGAAGTTTATTCAGAAGAAGAAAAAACACCTGTAAAACAGAAATATTACCTGATTAAACAAGAAAGTGTTACTAGATTATCTCCTCTATTTTTATAATTGTGAATACCAATATAAATAAATCTTAGGCATGTAAATAACCAGAATAAATGATTAGCCATATTGGGGGTTGAAGGGGCGCTTGTAGCCCCATGTCATACCATACATAAAAATCAATTCTAGATTTTCAATATGAGACATCACACTTTAAAACTTGTGTTGTCTTTCCTCTAGTTCTTAAATGTTTCCTCCTCTTCCCCACCCTCCATTCCCCCACCCCACTATCACGAACCCAATTCTACCTAACAAATCCAGCTAGACCAGAGGATGTACACTGGTGCAGATAGGAACTGGAAACACAGGGAATCCAGGGCGGATGATCCCTTCAGGACCAGTGGTGAGAGTGGCCATACCACAGGGTGGAGGGAAGGTGGGGTAGAAAGGGAGAGCCGATTACAAAAATCTACATATAACCTCCCCCCTGGGGGATGGACAACAGAAAAGTGGGTGAAGTGAGATGTTGGACAGTGTAAGATATGACAAAATAATAATTTATAAATTACCAAGGGTTCATGAGGGAGGGGGGAGCGGGCAGGGAGGGGAGAGCGGGCAGGAAGGGGTAAAAACGAGGAGCTGATACCAAGGGCTAAAATAGAAATCAAATGTTTTGAGAATGATGAAGGCAACAAATGTACAAATGTGCATGACACACAATGGATGCATATATGGATTGTGATAAGAGTTGTATGAGCCCCCAATAAAATGATTTTTAAAAGACTGCTATGAATAGAAATGTAAAAAACCAAAAACCTTGTGTGTGTCATGGAACCCAAGACAGCTAAAACCCTCAAGAACATTCAGTAGTGGGAGTAGTGATATCATGATGGTAAAGGGATGGGGGGTGCGGAAAGAAAAGGGGAACCCATCACAAGGATGGCTATATAGTCTAACCCCCTGAGGAGGGCGAATAACAGAAATGTGGGTGAAGGGAGACAACGGACAGCTTAAGACACAAAATAACAATAATAATATCGTATTGATCAAGGATTCATGAGGCGGCGACGGGGGCAAGCTGGGGGTGAGGGAACTGATACCAAGGGCTCAAGCAGAAAGAAAATGTTTTGAAAATGTTGATGGCAACTTATGTACAAGTGTGCTTATTACAACTGAATGATGGATTGTTATAAGATTTCTAAGAGCCCCCCAATACAATGATTAAAAAATAACAATAAAGCTTATGTTGTTGTGAGGTGCCATCAAGGCCCTTTGGCCCGTAGAGATCCCCTGTAACAGAACAGAGCGGCCCCGTGGGGTTTCCTGGTCATCAGTCCTCCTGGGAGCAGGTCGCCAGACCTTCCCCCGTGGAGAGGCTGGAGGCTCAAGGACTTCACTGCTGTGCCAGTGAGGCTTTGTCTTTTCAAAGAACATTCTTTTGCAAAGACTACTTATCATGACTTCAAGGTCAGAAAGTGCCAAGATTAAAGTAAACGGTAATGATTAAAATGAAACCACAAGCTTTAGCTGACTTGTGTAGAAGATGTGCTTGTTGGCTTTCTTTTCTTTAACTGATGTAAAATGGCTCGAATCAAACTAGAGATCGGCAGTATAATGTGTCTGGCACTGTTGCTACTGCAATCTTGGCTAACAGTCATAAGTCGGCTTTCATTCCTTCCTTTAGCCAGACACCTTGACTGAGCACCTACAAGGGCCCAGCTTCGGACTGCAATCTAATAAGGAGCCCAGCCATGCAGTGCTTAAGCACTTGCCTGCTTACTAAGGGTCGGTGGTTCTAACTCAACAGTAGCTTCACGGGTAAAACACCTGGCGACCTGCTCCCGTAAAGATGACTGCCTAGGAGACCGTAGGTGACACTGCTGTCTTGTCATGGGGTCACTATGTACAAGAACTGCCTCCACAGCACACGGGACAGAAAGTACAGGGTTAAGATTGAGAAAGAAAAAAAAAAACCTTGGTTCTCACTCTAATGGGGAAGACCCACAAGTAAATAAATAGACAACTAAATTAAATAATGGCAGTTTATAATAGAACCTCGGAAAGAAATATGCAATAGTGGTTGGAGAAGATAACATTGAAGCCAAGCTTCAACTGAAAAGGTGGGATGGGAGGGGCGGGCATCAGCTGTGTTGCTGATATTCAGATTGGGGGGCTTCTATCAAAACACAATGTTGTTAACAGAACTGAGAGAAGGTCATGTAAACAATATTTCTATACAAGACTGTTAAAATGATGAATGATCCTCTGAAAAATAAAGAGCCCTGTCGGCCCAGTGGTTAAAGGGCTTGGCTCCTGACCAACAGGTCAGTCGCTCAAACCCACCAGCCGCTCCGCAGAAGAAAAATGTAGCCATCTGCTTCTGTACAGATTACAGCTTTGAAAACTCCCTGTCCCAAGTCTTGAAGGCAGTGGGTTTGGCTTGGGGTTTTCTGCTTTGTTTTGATTTGAATAACTGCTTTCTCAGTCCCACCTTCGCCCTCCCACCTCCTAACATACTCAAAAAATGCTGAAAGACCTGTTATTTTGATAGCAATCATTCAAAAACTGGTCCTGGAGGCCGACTCACGGGTAGAACTGCCCCTGTGGGTTTCCAAGGCTTTAAATTTCTTTACAGGCGTAGAAGCTCCTTCTTTCTTCCTCGGAGCTGCTGGTTTCAAACTGCTGGCTTTTCGGTTATCAGCCCAACACATAACTACTCTGCCACCAGGGCTCCTGTCACTGGCCCAGTCCCTCCTTAAAACCCTCCAGCGCAAGCACCTGGAAGCCCCTCTCCGAGATGCCCCTAGGTTACCTGTTGCCGCTCTCTCGTTGCAGCTAACTAAGCACGCCCATCATTTTAACTACACACATATTCTTGGTGATCATTGGTGGACAGCCCTTGGTCGGCAAAGAATGAATGAGGAAGAGCCTTCCAGAAAGAGGGAACCTCAGTGTAAAGATCTCAGAGGAAAAAGACTGGCACAAGTGAATGGACACTGTTTTTAGAAGTATTGCTGGTGCCTTTCATTGAAAATACAGAAACCCAAGTAAGATGAACCTATACAGGCAATAACTAGAACAAGGGCTCCTGGGGCACATGGTGGGGAGGTGGAGGGGTACAGGGGAGCTGATATCAAGGAGTTTAAGAAGGAAGAAAACATTTTGAAACTGATTTTGGTGGCAATTGTACAATACTGTGATTGAACTAAGGAATGGTATAATGTCTGAATCAGTTCCTAATAAAATGTTTTTTTGGGGAAAAAAGTTAGAAGGAAGAGAAAGGATGGGGATCTTGACTGAGTTTATTAATGTGACAAACAGAACCGAGATAGCTCAAAATAAAAGTAGTAATCATTGGAACTACAGGTCTGGAGCTGGAACAGTTGGTTCGCCATCTCTGGAGGGGTGGGCCCACATGCATCACCATCTCACACTGTACACAAAATCCAGGGCAGTGTGTGAAGTGAGAGGCAAATCTTTAATACATGTGAATGTAGCTAAGGCCTCTTCCATAGGCGACCTAAGCCAAGTGTGGCAGGAAGGGGGATGGGAGGGAAGAGGAGCTGATACCAAGGGCTCAATAGAAAGTAAATGTCTAGAAAAGAATGAAGGCAACATATGTACCAACATGCCTGCTTCAATCGATGTAGGGACTGTGAGAAGAGTTGTACGAGCCCCCAATAAAATGATTTTTTTTTTTTAAAAGGAAGAATTAGAATACCGTTTCATGGAAGTCAAGAAGGTAGAAACAACTAATACTAGTAAAAGGAACTTTCAGGGAAGTCGATGTGTCAATAAAGAATCTTCTGAAGCTGATCATATGAGGGGGCTTCAAAAAGTTCTTGGAAAAATTGAATGAATAAACACTGCCTGATCCTATACCAGCTGTGGTATATGAGTACATATGGGAAAACAAAAGCAAGTCATGAGGAAGCAGGGGGAAAAGAGGAGCCAATACCAAGGGCCCGGGTAGAAAGCAAATGTTTTGGCAACATATGTACAAGTGTGCTTAATATAACTGAATGATGGATGGTTATAAGATTTGTAAGAGCCCCCCAATAAAATGATTAATTTTTTTTAAAAAGAAAGAAAATGAAAACAAAAAACAAAAACAAGTCCTTTGCCTCAGCTGTGGTGACATTCTCTGACTGTGTGGTCTGGAGCCAAGCTCCCAAGATCTCCTAGGTGTGCCTGGACTCTGTCTGTCTGTTCTTGGGGCACTGCGTTCTGCCAGTGCCTTCAGTGCAGCTTGGCCTGGTACCTTCCATACCACAAGTTCTTGACCATACGCTCCCTCCTGAAACGGATGAACATCAACAAAGTCTTTTTGGTACAATGCCTCTGCGTCTCCCTTCCATCTTCTTTTGATGCGTCCTGTATCACTCGATATGTGACCCACTGAATCCTTCAACCCTGCAACTCAAGGCTTCATTTTTTTCTTCCAGTCTCTCAGCTTCAAACCGTTTCTTACGCTATTACACAGAGAAGTAAAATTTAATGTGAACATAACTTAAATGTATGTATTGGAAAACAAAGCAACGGGTCCTGTGACCCTGCTGACGTTCCCTTGATGATGATGGGGACTTGGAAGCCAACCTGCACGTCTCTGAAGAATGCGGAGCGTGTTCTTCCCTTTTATATGCTGATCTGTGGGCTGGTAAACAATAAGTTTGGGGTAGAAGTTTTAGGAGGAATATCTTAAAAGTGAAAGGGGGAAAAAATTAGAACCCGTTAAGAAGAGAAACAAAGTTTTGTCTCAAAGTCAAAGGAGCACTAGCAGGAAAGATAACGTGAAAAGACAAGCTGTCCAGTCAACAGCATGCGTCCTTTCCAAGGAGAAAATTGGCAACTCAAGACGCAAACTGAATGTTTAATCTAGCTGAACGGGCCGGAATCGGGTGGGAGGAGCGGCAGGCAAGCTTTGGAAGCAGCACCTAGATGCCAGCGCTGAGGAGAAACTGGGGATTCCACGAACCATTTCTGCTTCCACGCAAGTGGCAAAAAGTTACTTAAGACTTATTTATAAGGGAGCTTCCAAAAGTTTGTGGAAGATGGAATTAAAAGACAATGGAACTTTTCTCTGGGGGTGAAAACCTCTCCTCCATACAATCTCACCTCTCCTTCATCCCTCTCCAGGAGAAGAGGAAACACAAGGCGCACCTGGTGCTGAGCCAGCCCCAATTCCTGCTTCAGGGACCTGAAATGCTCAGGATGCTATTAAACCACCCGAGTCTTTAGTCCTGCGCCCCTGTCCTACTGTCCTCTGTCAGCCTACAGGGAGGAAAGCGAGGCTGAGGGAAGGCTGCTTCCTCAGGGCCTCGGGTAGAAGCAGCACTGCAATCACCCTGAATCAAGATGAGGGGGAGCCATCTCTATACACACCTGTGGGTACCCCATGAAAAAAGGCTGGAGAATGTCGAAGCCCTCACATAGTTTCACTGGGCACCTGAAGGCACAAGATGGGAAATGCCTTAACAACAGGACTAATTCCAAAAGCTTTTTAAGAGCATGTGCCAGGGGGAAGTATAAACATACAATAGAACCTCACTTCCAAAAGAAAGACAGGAATCACGGGCTCAAGAATTTCAAATCAGGCAATTGCTGCAGCAGAAAAAAATGGCACAAGGCTAAAATATCTTGGGGCTCCTGATGAGGAAGAGGGAAAGGAAAGAGCCAGAGACTGGAGCTGGGGGAGCGAAGGGCTATGGATCTGCTTGAAAGGCCACTTGCCATCAAAGCAAGTTAGCAGGCTCCTTGGAAAGAACAGCCCACAAGGGCGGCAGCACTGCGACTAAAAGTAACGCAATGCCTTTTCAAAGTTTAAAAAACAGGAGAGGGGCAAAGAAAAAGAAGCAAGTGTCACAAAGGACAGGGCTATTTCACATCCTGCCCTCAGCAAAAGGCGGTAGTTTGGTGTTGGACCACACTTCCCTAAATGATGGATAGAAAAACCAAAAAAGCTCACTGCCATCAAGCCGGTGCCGACTCATAGGACAGGGTAGATCTGCCCCTGTGGGTTTCCGAGACTGTAACTCTTTATGGGCTGCTCCCTTGGAGCAGCCAATGGTTTTGAACTGCTGCCCTTGCAGTTAGCAGCCCAATACAGCACCAAGGCTCCTTAAATAAGGGTCTAAAATGTCATAATCAACCTGGGGATCGACGTCTCCCAAAGGAGCTCTGAACTTCCAGTGCTGGCCCCTGGTGAACTAGCAGAGATTGACTTGTACCAAGGGAAGATTGCCAACAAGCACCTTCTCATTCTTTCTTCCATTTTCTCCATCTACCCTCTTTCTTCAAATACACCACGTCTTTGGAAAAGTACACTACTATGCACTGACATGACAACCACTGAATCCAGGGGACATTGTTTTTGCTACAATAGAAGAAAATGAATGCTTAAGGTTATAAACTATTATACTGGTACCAGATTTTACTTGGTTTTTCAATTTTGTGGATATAAAGCTGGTCCCTACTATTCTGAAATGTCCTGTTTATCCACTCAAATCTCACAGCCATTGAATCGATGCCAACACATAGCAACCCTATAGGGCAGGGTGGAACTGCTCCTGTGAGTTCCCGAGACTGTAACATCATGGGAGTAGAAAGCCCCATCTTTCTCCCTGGGGGTGACTGGTGGTTTCGAACTTCAGGGCTTGCAGTTAGCAGCCCAAAGTGCCATCACTACACCCCAGGGCTCCCCTGTTTATCCACCAGAGTTTAGAAATACAGACCAGAGGGAAGCTGTGATTGGAGCAACCTAATTTTGTAGCTGCTAAAGGGAGTATCGGATCAGTCAGTGTTGAAGGCAGCCTCTGAACTAGGAATAATGAATGAATGAATGAATGAATTGGGAAAATACAACCCAATCAGACACCTAAGTGAGGCCCTTCTGGCTGTGAATAAATCACAGAATCACCGGGGACATAGATAGAATGGGGTCTTGAGCTGCTTTGAGGATGTTGGGAGGAGGTTTATGGTTCAATATTATAAGGTAGCAATAGACCGGGAGCATTATGCTCCTAACAATAGGAGTACCAGGGGTATGCTTCACCTTTTTTTTTTTGGCTTTACCTCATTTTGCTTGGTGAGCAGCTTCATAAGACATCGATGCTGGGGGTAAATTCAAATAAGAATCCAAATATAGAAAGGCTTATCATGTGGCTTTGTGGTAAATGTAATTAACAGCCTGCCCCGTTGTACCACGGAAACACCCTGACAGCATTAAGGGACGGGCTGCCCATCGACTGCAGTGCTTGATCCAGTTAGATGCCCAGGAAGAACAGATCCACTGACACAGCAGGGCCCTAACAGTGCATTTCAAGGCTTTTCTGATTTCTCCCACTCTCCTTGGAAAACCACCACCAAAAATACGATAAAAAACCTAGCACTCTGGCTTATAAGCAAAACAGAGTGCCTCTCAAACCCTCAGACGTCAAAACAGTAAAAAAGCAAGACAGTAACTGGATTAATGAATCCTTGGGGGAACAGGGCGCTCATAACGAGGAGGACCAGAAGAAGATGCCATAAATTTGATAGTGGTGATGATTGTAAAACTCTCCTTAATATGCCTGAACTACTGAATTGTATAGTTTGTGAATTATATGCCAATAAAACTGTTTGAAAGAACCAAACCAAGGTCCCTCCCCCCACCCAACAAAGCGAACCCATTGCCCCAGAGTAGCTTCCACCTCAGTCAGCCTACAAGACAGGGTAAGGAGCCCTGCTGGCCGAGTGGCGGGCGTGCTGAGCTGCTGACCACAATCAGCATTATGAATCCAACACTCACCCTGTACAGAAGGATGAGGCTACTGCTCCCATAAAGATTTATAGGCTCAGAAAGCCAACTCTGTCCTAGAGGCTCTTTATGAGTCAGAATCCAGTCAGAGGCAGCGAGTCTTTTTGTTTGGTTGGTTTATAGGACAGTGTAAAACGGCCCCCCAGAATGCCACATCCTTACCTGGGGAGCAGCTGGTCTATTAGAACCAGCGATCTCCAGTACTTAACCACTGTGCCACGCCCACCCCCACGTACTCCTTCTCCCAGTACCAGTGAGAAACACCCCAGATGAAGCTCCAGAACACTGACTCACCGGAGGTACTCAGGACCAGATTGCGCCCTCCTTTGGAAATCTCCCTTTTCCCACCAGGTGCCTTTCACTGCTCTGTGGGGGAGCGCTGGTGGCGCTAAGGTAAGCATTGGATCGACGGCTAGCCCCCAGGTCGGTGGTTCACACCCACCACCAGACCATCTGTTCCCTTAAAGACTTTACCGCCTCAAAAACCCTATATAAGGTTCCTATGAGTCGGAATCAACTCGATGGCAGTGAGTCTGAGTTTGGGGTGGCTTGGTCGTTTACACATTTAGCTGCTAAGTGGTCAGCGGCTGGAACCCATCAGCCCCTCCAAGGGAGACGAATGCGAAGTCTCAGAGAGTGGCTAAGAGTCAGAACCGACTTGATGGCAGTGGGTGTGGAAGTAGGGGGCATCATCAAGCTCCTTACAGAAGGGACCCCGACGGTCGGAGAGGGTCTCAACCAGGCAGCAGGGCTGGGAAGGCGGGGGCGGTGCTGGTGAAATTCGCCGGCCAAGGGGAGCCGGAGCTGACTGCTTCCCCACGCCGGCAGAGGCTGGCAGCGGGCGGGAGACACTGACCTGAGGAGCCGCGGGCGGGTGGGACGCGGCCAGCCGACCGATGAAGGTGTCCGCCTGCCGTGCGCAGCGAATCCAAGGCAGCAAAAAGCCCCTGGGAACCTTCCTGTTAGGTCAGTTCTGGCCGCTTCCGCCCGCCAAGGGACTCAAACCTCCCGGGCCGGAAGGGGCGGGCCGGAGCGGGGGGCGGGGCCGGGGCGGGGCCGGAGCGGGGCGGGGCCAGAGCGTGGGCGGGGCCCGGGCGCCCGCGTAGGAAAGGACTGGCAGGGCGCTCGGGTGGTCCCCGCCGACGGGGGTCGTCCAGCTGGAGTACAGGCGCTGAGATGGACGTGAAGCTTTTCCTCCTGACCGAGACGCCTCCTCGACTTTATGACGTTAACTTTCCAAAAATTAGGAGAAAGACGGGACCTTCGACTCCGGTAAAGAGTGAGTCTCGGAGGGGGGGAAAATGAGGAGCTGATAGCAAGGGCTCAAGTAGAAAGCGAATGTTTTGAGAATGATGATGGCAACAAATGTACAAATGTGCTTGACACAAGGGATGGATGGATGGATTGTGATAAGAGTTGTACGAGCCCCCAACAAAATGATTTTTTTAATTAAATCGTTTTATTAGGGGCCCATACAACTCTTATCACAATCCATCCATCCATCCCTTGTGTCAAGCACATTTGTACATTCACTGCCCTCATCATTCTCAAAACATTTCCTCTCCACTTAAGCCCCCGGCATTAGGTCCTCATTTTTCCCCTCCCTCCCCACTCCCCACTCCCTAATGAACCCTTGATAATTTATAAATTATTATTTTGTCATATTTTGCCCTCTCCGACGTCTCCCTTCACCCACTTTTCTGCTGTCCGTCCCCCAGGGAGGAGGTCACATATAGTTCCTTGTAATCGGTTCCCTATTTCCAACCCACTCTCCCTCTACCCTCCCAGTACCACCACTCACACCACTGGTCCTGTAGGGCTCATCCGCCCTGGATTCCCTGTGTTTCCAGTTCCTATCTGTACGAGTGTACACCCTCTGGTCTAGCCAGACTTGCAAGGTAGAATTCGGATCATGATTTTTTTTTTTTTTAGAGTCTTGGAAACCACAGGGCCGTTCTGTCCTGCCCTGTAGGGTGGTGATGAGTCAAAATCGACTCGATGGCAGTGAGTTTTTGAGTTTTCTAAAACTGATCTGTCAGAGAAACCCAAACTCCTTGCCATCCTGTCAGTTCCAACAGTGACCCTGGAACCCACTGCTGTAGAGTCGATGCTGACTCGTAGTGACCCTTTCAGGACAGGTAGCACTGCTCCAGCGAGTTTCCGCAGACAGTCGTGTTTTGGGGAGCCCTGGCGGTGTAGTGGTTATGTGTTGGCCTCCTGCTACCTGCACGACTGCGGCTCAAAACGACCGCAAGCAAACCCAGAAGGGGTTGCTGTGATTCAGCACGGATTCAATATGGCTGTGAGTTTGGTTTGGGTTATTTTTAGCTGCTTATGAGAGTACAAAGTCCCATTTTTCTCCCAAGGATCAGCTAGTTGTTTCAAACTTCTGACCTTGAGGATGGCAGCCCAACGCTATGTTGCCAGGACTCCTCAGTGACCCAGTTGGATAGGGTAGAACTGCTCTTGGGGGGACAGACAGCCTCACTCTGGTCTTTGAGAGTTTAAACTCTGAGCACTGGCTTTTCACAAGTCTGTGGTTTAGAGTGAGACCCCTAAGCCCTTGTCTGAGTCTCCGCATGAATTCCAGTCCCTTGAATTCTCTCTGACCGAGAGTGGGCCCTGTGAGAAGCTTTGCCCTCAGGCAGAGTGTGTTTGAAAGTGGGTGCCTTCAGGGCACCCACTCATGGGTCTGAAGAGTCTTGCCTAAGTGTGCCTTTGATGGAATGTGGGTGGAGTGCTAAGCTACACGTGGTCGTGAGTCATACCCTGACTGCCTCTGTCAAATGGCCCTGAACCAATTTTGAAAGCCTTTCCACCTACGTAGGTGTCGGATGAATCCTGATCCCTTCCAGCTTCCACAGTTCCGTCTCCAGCTGTGATGAAGTGATGTGCTGCCCATCATGATTCTGTAATGTTTTCCTTTGTTCTCCATAGCCTATTTAGGTGACCGAATTTCTGTGACACCCCGACACCGTCATGACCTCATGCTGATGGTCTCCCTCATCTGGATGATTTGTCTTTGTCCTGTTTACGAAGCAATTGATGTGTCTCGATCAATTATATTTGAATTTGGGTTCGCTTTTCTCAGCTGAAACACTGGTTGGTTTAAACTGCCGACCTTGGGGTTAACAGCCCAGAGTGTAAGTCCACCACCAGGGTTTCTTGATCTACCAAAGAAATCGCTTGTAATCATGGATTTTGTTTTCATCCTCCCTTGACCAAAAAGGAGCCCTGGTGCTAATTGTCGAACTATAACCACAAGGTCCGAGGTTCAAAGCCATCACCATTCAGTAGAAGGAAGATGAGACTGTCTATTCCCATACAGATTTACAGTCTCAGACACTCTATAGAGGGTTGCTGAGTTAGAATCAACCAATGGCCTTGACCAATGGCCCTTCTCCCACCTCACAAAAAATAAGCTTACCGCTCTCCTCTTCGGAATCTTACTGAGGTGCATTGCCACAAATAAAAGTCACCAAGGAGCCAAACGAATCGCACATCAGATAACTCCAGGCATCGTAAACACCAACTCATCATCAAGCTTGACGTCTTTCTAAAGCTTGTTCCTGCTTGATCATGATTGATGTCATCTTGGTTAACTATGAAGTGTAAGAAGTCTTTGTGTTACAGTGCTTAAGTGCTGGACTGCTGACAAAATGATCAGTGGTTGGAGCAAAGAGATAGCATCAACTTTAAATGTCTATGTATTTTTAATGACAGTCAAGGGTGCTGTTGGTTGTCATCTATTGAATTCCATGAAATATGAGGGGATGCTGGATAAAAGATTTCCAAGCATAAAAATACATCCCATTAAAATGTTATATAGAAGGTAAATATGATTCAAAGAAGAAAAAGAAGGGATGGGAAATGAGCAATTCCTAAAGAACAGCTTGCTGGAGAGCAAATGTTTTCAGAATGATGAGGGCAATAAATGTATAAATGTGCTTTACACAATCGATGTATGTATAGATTGTGATAAGAGTTGTATGAGCCCCTAATAAAATGGTTTTTTAAAAAAAGAACAGCTTGCTCTTATCTTTTTTAAATGCACGTTGTTGTGAGGTGCCTTGGAGTCCCTTGTGATTCATAGCAACCCTGTGGGCAACACAGCAAAATACTGCCCGATGCTGTGCCACCCTCACAATGGCTGCAATGCTTGGTGCTATACTCACAATCATTGCAACTTGAGCCCATCAACCAGCCACTGTGTCAATCTGTCTCATCGAGGGGCTTCCTCTTTTTCCCATAATGTCCTTCTGGAGAGAAAATGTCCAAAGTACGTGGGACAAATGTACCCATCCCCGCCTCTAAGGAACATTCTGATTGCACTGCTTCAATCAAGACAGGCATGTTCTTCCAGCAGTTCATGGTCTTCAAATGACTTCTTGTGTGGGGCAAATGTGCTGCAAAAGACGTGTGTGTGTGTGTGTGTGTGTGTGTGTGTGTGTGTGTGTGTGTGTGTGTTGAAATGAAGATGTTACTTTGATGAATACTAGGGTGCGTGTGAGCAGGTTGTGGTCTTTTCAATCATGTCAAATACTCATCCATGCCAAAGCTGGGCCATGAATAAGGAAGGTCAAAGAGAAGTGATGCGTTTGAATTATGACGTTGGCAAAGAATATTAAATAAGTGAGTGGTGGCGGGCCTCAAATCACGCTAGTATTTCCAGTCCATTAGATGCACCCAAATGAGTGATGTTACAGCCTTGGTTAAAATACTCTCAATAATACAGTTTATTTTTAGATATTTACAGTCATCCAGAAATCACATCCTTTGCAACGACCTAAAACCATGATAAAATATTCAGATGTTCATTGAAAGTCTTTCCCCAAAAACTTTTTAGCACATATATCCAAAGAAGTTTAAGTATCCCTAAATTGAAGAGACTAATTATATCCAAAAACAAAAGCCCGGCTCTCCCAGAGTCTCACTTCCAAGAGGACTCAAAGAAGAAACAAGGGTCTTGCAGGGAAAGGACCGTGGCCATGAGCAGCCTGTTTGCTGCACTCTCAGAGACAGGGCCCTTAAGCAGTTTGTCTTTGAAACGCTGTAGAGGCTGCGGCCATCGGGGACACTTCCAAAGCCAGTGTCCCCATGTGTGTGTGCTTCCCAGGCTGTATGTGTGAGTTGTGTCATTCACAGCAAGGTGATCAGGAACCGGTCACTTGAAGCCAGGAAAGACTGAACCCTCCCACCACAGCCTCCTTCAAAGCCAATGTAAAGCTTTGAGGCCGAAGGAAAACCTACCGGAAAGAAAGTAAAATGGAAATTATACTTCACAAAAAGGGGGTGGTGGCGGCAAGAAAACAGGCCAGAGCAAGGAGATTGGGGCTCTGAGCTGCGGAGCCTGAAGAGCCAGCCCCTGGCCCTCTGTGGGTATGTTACACAAGAGACATGTCTTAGGGCTGACAGCTATGGCCAGAGCCCTGGGCGCCACCTGAGGGGGACACCAGAGAGCAGTTTCTATGCATCATCAGTTTCCCTCGCCATCTGTGAGAGACCGTTCAGCAAGTTAAAGCTCATTTCCACTGATGTGATTTTCTGTAGCTAAACCATCGGTTTGCTCATGTGGACAAAACGGAGGGTGGGCTCTGATTCCGTTGCTTCCTGTTTCATGGAGTAGGTGGATCGGGCCATTTTGGAATGTAACATCTCTACCAATAATCACAGCGTTGGTAATGACCCCATGACAGCTTCTTGAGCCCTTTGTGGGCATGCGCTTGCACTGTGTGTGTAGCCAAATGCCTGTCATTGTCACGCAGGGTCATCGGGGACATCCATTCATTTCTCAGTCACTGGTGCCTGCCATATGCCTGTGCGGGCCAACCCAGAGAAGGGAGGAGAGGAGATGGGGCTTCTGGCCCCGGGAGCTCACCGCAGCCAGACTTGTAGACGAGTAGCATTAATAAAGGACTGGATCAAAGTACCAGAGAGGGAGCAGTTCATTC